CCAAGCGCAGAGAGCAGGAGCTGCGGCTTTGGACAACCAGCAGCCCCGCGCGATGCCTTGGGAAGGGGGTCCGGACAGCCTTACCTTCAGCAGAGAGTTCCAGCAGCGTTAGGAACGAGTAGGCCAGCTTCGAGCTGACGCTCACAGTCCAGCAGCCTTCCATGTGGCTTGCCGACAGCCTCAGTTCAGAACTAAGGATGCCCTCCGCCAACAAGGCTCCTCAACCAACCAACAATTCTCTGCAAAGCGCCCCTGCTCCTCCACGCGTCAGCGAGGGTCACCCAGAGCAGCCTGGCTGCCCCAGAATCGACTCCTGGTCGCAGAAGGACAGAGCCCCTGAGCAGTGCTGCAGCAGCGCCCAGGCCCTGCAGGGAAGTGCCGGCCCTGCCGCTGCCCTGGGGAAGATCTGCTTGTGATGCAGCGCATGGCATTGTGACATCAGCCCGTGTCACCTGGAGCTCTGTTAGGCATTGTGACATCAGCCCGTGTCACCTGGAGCTCTGTTAGGTCACTGGCACGGAGAGGGCAGCTCCTCTTCCAGGAGCAGTTCCGCTCAGCTTACTGAATTACGGTACGCAGGAACGCAAGCCTAACTTTAATGGTTCTGTAAGAGCAACTGTTTCACATCTGTCTAATAAACAGAAACCTGTGCGTTCACAGGCACACGCACACCAGGTGAGGTTGAAATATCGACCATCGCTGTGCTTTACTCGGCAAACGGCACGAGAACCTGCCACGTGTCACACAGGCTGAGGCTGGTGAGCTGCTGGCACAGCTGCCCAGAGACGCTGTGCGCACCCCGTCCTGAGGGGTGTTCAGGTCCAGGCTGGATGGCACCCTGTGCAACCTGACCTGGAGCCTGATCTCGCTGTTGGCTGCAGCAGGGGGTTGGAACTGGGTGATCTGTGAGGCCTCGTGTGCTGAAAGGCAGCCACGTGGTCTCCCCACAGCCTTCTGCTCTCCGGGCTCAACGAGCCCCAGTCTCTCAGTCTCTCTCCAAAAGAGACGGTCCTGATGCTGGCCTTTCAAGTCCCGTTGCTGATGTCCAAGTTTCGTGCCCATCGCGTGCTGATGCTGTTGTGCCAATCCATGGGCTCAACAGGGAGAACAAAGACACCAATGTCTTTGGGACAGGCTTATTTTATTGCCTATGACAACATAACACGAGCAATAGTATTTACTAGCAGCGTCTGTAGCCAGGAGAGAAGCTTAACAGACAAGGCAATAAGCGAGGCAGTGGGCCTACTCATGGCCACGTGAGCTCAGCGATGGAGAAAGGTGCATCACCACCTGCCCCAGCACTTTGCCACCAGCCAGACCCGCAGCCACTGGGGAGCCCTGTTTGCAATCAGGATCTGTGGGGACATGGATTTGGGATGGGAATGGGGTGGGGGATGGGGACGAGGTGTGGAGGGATGGATACGAGATGGGTTTGAGATGGCTATGGGGTGGATACGATGGATATGGGATGGGATAAAGGTGTGGGATAAGGATATGGGATGGCTATGAGATGAGGCTGTAGTGGTTATGGGGCCATAGGGGCTCCTGGTGGGACATCTCCAGATCATCCTAGAGGCTCCTCAGAGCTCCTGAGCCCATCCTCGGAGTTTCCAGATCCTTCAAGGGATCCCCGGGAGCATCCTGGAGACCCCCTGGACATCAAGACCCCACTGGGACATCTTCAGACCCTTCAGGATGAACCCAAGGATCCCCCTGGACCCAGCTGGGAACACCCCCGCATGCCCCAAACCCCTCGAGGACATCTGCAGATTCTTCTGCATGACTCCAGGGGTGGATAGGGGAGGTTGCGGGAGGGAGAAAAGGGGCTAGCGAGGCTTCTAGAGGTGGAAAGAAAGTCTGGGGGTGGATAGGGGGTTGTGGGGAATCTACGGGGGGGAAAGGTGTGAGTGGGGCTTCTGTGAGGTGGAAAGAGGGTCTGGAGGTGGAGAAAGGGTGGAAGAGGGAAACTGGGGGATTGTGGTGGGCTAGAAGCCCTGTGATGTGGAAAGGGGACCTGGGGGTGGGGAGGAGATTGTGAGGGGGAAACAAGGAGAAAGAGGCTTCTGTGAGTGGAAAGGAGGGTTTGGGGGTGGAGGGTTACATTGTGGAGGGGAATATTGTGGAGGGCAACTGGAGGAGTTAGTTGAAAGGGGGAAAAGGGGTTTTTGTAGGGCAGAAAGGGCAGGTCTGGGAGTGGATGGAGGACTGTGAGGGGGAAAAGAAAAGGAGTGGGGTCTCTACAGGGAGGAAAGGGGGTCTAGGAGTGGCGAGGAGGTTGTGGGGGGCTTCTATGGGGTGGGTGTCTGGGGTAGACCTCAGGGGAGTATTTGGGGGAGAAGAGGGGAGTGGGGTGCCTATGGGGTTGAAAAAGAGTTGGAGGGGAATTTAGTGGGTTGTGGAAGGGAAAAGGGTGAACAGAGCCTCTGCAAGGCAGAAAGCGCATCTGGGGCTGGAGGGAGGAAGGGGTGGGAGGAGAGAGCCAGGGGTTGTGGGGGGCTTCTATTGGGCAGAAAAGGAGTCCGGTTGGGGGGGAATGGATGTCAAAATGGGGGAACTGACTCCAGGGGTCAGGGAGAAGCACACAGGGGGTACAGGGGACTCTAGAGGTCAGAAAAAGGGGTCAGAAGGTGGGGAGAGCAAGGAGGACACGGGACCCTGGGGGTCAAAGAGAAGGTAATGGGGGGTGACTCTAAGGATCAGAATGGGGGAAATGGAGTGGGGGTACCCGGGAGGAGGAGAAGGGATTCTGGGGGTCAGATAGAAGGGACTGGGAAAGTGGGGGGACTCTAGGGCACAGAATGGGGAGACTCGTGACGGGGTGGAGAGACATTAGAGATCAGAACAGGGGACAGGGGAGAGATCGGGAGGGCGGGGGGACAGATAGGTGGACCCTGGGGGTCAGAATGCGGGAGGCGCAGAGGGGAGGGCTGGAAGAGAACTACAGGGATCAGAACGGGGGAAACGGAAGGGGGAAAAAGGGGGAGGGAGGCGCAACCCCGGGGGTCACACAGAGGGACGGGGGGGTTTGTGGGCGATCCGTGGCAGGGGGAGGGGAGGAGGGCAGTGAAACGCACGGGGTGGGGGAGGCGGGGAGACGCAGGGCAGCCGCCCCCGCCGAGCGGAACCCCGAGCACCACAGCGACGTCACGAGGCCAACGCAGAGCGGCACGCGGCCCCTGCAGCACCTGAACCCCGGCCCCCGCCCCGGTGCCCCCCGAACAGCCACCTGCAGAAGCCGAGGCGGCTCTCGGAGGCCCGGCTGCTCCGCACGGCCGCCCCCTGCTCGGGTCGCGGGGCTGATGACGTCACTCAGCGGGGACGGCGCCTCGCCGCAACGACGGAGGACGGCTCGGTTCCGCCTCCGAGAACAGCTGGATTCCGACGGGGGACGGACGGGGCCGGCGGCGGTGCCTTCCCCTGACCGCCCGGCGTCCCCGAGGCACGGGGCGGCGGAGCGCCGCTTTCTCCGCGCGGAGCCTCGCGGCTCCGCCATCCCGCCGGCCCCATCGCCATCGCGGCGGCCTCTCGTCGGCAGCCGCCGTTGGCGGGGCGCCCGCGCTCGGTCCCTCCCCCTCGCCTCTCCCATTGGTCAGTCCGCCGAACGGGGCGGGCAGTCCGGGCGGGGTCCTTTGCGCTCGGTCATCGCGTCCTCACCGCGCGGCTTCGCCCGGCTGCCCTCGGTGATGCCTGTCGTCGTGCGCCCGCTCCGCTTCCGGGGCCGCAGCTGCGGGGACGTGGGGGACCTCAGCGAGGCCGAGCCTGCGCCGCCCCGGCCCCGCTTCGCTCCGTGCGGGCCTTCCTGGAGAGCGGCGAGCGCGGGCTGGCGGCCGCCGGCAGGTGGGGGAGCGGGGCGTCCGGGCGGGCGGCGCGGCCCGGCGATGGCGCTGGGGAACTCGCTGGAGACGAGCGGCTCCGCGGGCGCCTTGACGTCGCGCTCCAGGCGGCGGTCGCGATGCCGGCGCTGTGCGGAGCGGGACGCTTCTACGTGCGTGCTGGAACTTTCCTGCTGGAAACAGCCCAGAGCAGCGCGGCACGATGGAGAGATGCGTGTGAACTCGCAGCCTGGTGTTACCTGAACGGTTTCCATGTAAGTCCCTGTTCAGTTTGTGCCTGCAGTGGTTGCAGTTGAGTGCTCTCGCTGTGCACGCATTGAACGCCTGCGTTCCAAAAACTAGCTGCTGTTTTTAAGGCTGTCTCCTCGCCAAATCTTACCCTTCCGTACTTGTTCGAAAGATTTCAAGTGGTGTGAATCTCAGCTGTTTCACTTGTCAGCAGTGCAATGACTCTGAAGGGCTAACGAGTGTATTTCCTGTAGGCTGTTCCCTTCTCTATAATGCAGCTGCATTAACTAACATTAAGGTTATTGATACGGGAGGGAGGGGAATGACCCGAGTAGCTCTCACACGCTTATTGCATAGACAGCAGAGCTTGATCAAGCTGAATTCTGTGCTTTATGGAATACAATCAGTTTTCCTTTTGCACAAGTGCTTGCGCTCAGAACATCGCTTTGTCTTGTGCGCTCTTACAGCTGTTTGCAATTGTTCAGTTACTCATCTCGTGTCCTTTCCTGAGAAGAAACAAGCTTGTTTCCTAACTTGTAAGACTAAATGAAGAGATTTGCTTTTTATTGTCAAGAAGCTGTAGCAATTCTATTCTTTCTTTGCCAGATTCCTAAGCCAAGGTCAAAACTAATAAGAGGAGATGGTGCTGGGCAAGATGTGCTGGAAATGTTGGCCTGTGACCGAAAGCCAGTGTGGTAATAAAACTAGTAATTACAAATGTTCCGTAGTTCTGCTTTAATCTTATGAGCAGCTAATGTCAGAGTTAAAGGTTTGTTAAAGAGCACGCTTGGCGTCTTGGAACACGCCATAAAACGTTCTGCATTTTGGCTGCGTATGAATTGCAAGCAGCGGTTTGATCCTGACACGTACTGGGCTTTTTCTTTTTGTCTGCAGGACGTTAAGATAGAATTTGTCTTTCAGGTGAGAGGAGGTTGGTGGGAAGTGCTTTGATGGGAGAAACGTTCAGAGCTCGCTCCTCTTGCAGTGAAACCCAGCTCTGATCAGAGGCAGGTCTTCCTAACTCGGACGCAGACCCTCGCTTCTCACAACCCTTGTTGTTGCACAGGTGCTGTTTGGATGCACAGCTGTGGTCTCCAGCACCTCGCGTGGCTTGGCTTGCAGTGGAATTCTGTGTCAGTGTTATTCCCACTGCGCAGATCGTTACAACAACTTTTTCACTCACCCCACGAGACATCGAGACTGGAAGCAGATGCTCCTGAATCCGTTTGCCTGTTGTTCCTTGAAGTAAGCAAGCTTCCCAAGTTGTTAAATGCATTTAAATGCCGGTTTTTTGGTCCCTAATTCCTTCTGTTGGTTTGTTTTTATCAAAGCAGGATTTTTTACTCGGGATGGTGTTCACTAGCAACTTAGAACTGCAAGAGAAGTTCAGCACTCAGCTTGGCACACATCAACCTCCTTGCTTACCGTTGCTGCTGTGCAAACAGAACTGTACTGAGAAGCAAAGGTCCTGGTGGGATGCTGTGTGTACTCTCATGCAGAAAAAAACAACGTAGGAATTCTTCAGTTTGGAAATATTGGAAGCAACCTTCTAGAGGGCTTCTGAATTGATTGCCATGGGCTGCATAAAACCAGTTCCTTTTGTTTGAACGTTCAAGGTTTTTTGCTGCAGGGGTGTGAGATGGTGAAGAGCTTTGTAAAAACGGGCTTTACGTTTCTGATATTGCATTTGTAAAGAACTGGCTTAGGACTAAAGCTGCTTGTTGTGTTCATCAAACAAATGACGTGTGAGCAGATGGAAAAGAGGGAATGCTAACTGAGGAATGTTTCTGTCGACATTCAGGCCAGACTCGGCAGCCAAGCTGAAGCTTCTTGTACAGCATGGATGGAGTACTGTGTGAGCCCTGGAGAGACACGGCCTTCACCTGCCTTAATTATACACTGGGCAAGAAGCCTGCAAGCAACAGTAAGTTAAGATTGTCTGTAAATAAGTACCGTCTGTTTTTCTCTAATTTGCAAACGTAACAGGCTAAATAAAATCAGATGAGAATGTAGTATTGAGAAGTGCTGCTGATTTTGGTGGCATGACTGGAGCAATCACCTTGCCTGACAAGTACTCTCTACCTCACTACTCTGAACAGCACAGGTAAAAGCAACGTTGTTTTCTCCCCGTGTTACTTTCTGTGACTATAGAGAGATCTTCTGAAATACGTCCCAAGTGTCAGAGAAAAGTTCTTGAAACTTCTCGAGAAAACAACTGCATCAGAGAAGAAAAAGTAAGAATGACATTTTATTGGAATTTTCTGTGACAGTTTGAATTTCTCTTCTTCAACAGGGCGTTAGCCTGAACTCGTGCGACCAGAAAGAATCTATGGGAAGAAGCGTCTGCTACTGGAAGGAAATTCTGCTTAGCTTGAAAACTATCAAAAAGCACAGAAGTATTCCTGAACCTGCTGATCCTCTCTTCAAGCATTTCCACAGTGTGGACATCCAGGTACTGACGGATATTCAAAGAGGAGAGTAAGAGGGGTTGTACGTCGCGGGCTTGCATGTGAATGGTTGGTTGGTGTTTTGTTTTGGTTGGCTTTGTGTGTTGATGGGTGGTGGTTGTCTTATTTTTTTTGTCACTGTGCTGCTAATGCAGAGATTTGGTAGTATCTTTCTGTTGAACTCCTCGGAGTTTTAAAACTCTCTGATTGGAGGACACTGAACTGCCTTAGTACCAGCTTTCTGAAAAGCTGCTTTCCCGTCATACAGGGAAACCAGGCATAGTCTTAACCTCCTCCTATCTGCCTACTTATTAGATGCTTACAGTCTTACACCGACTGTTCCAGGTGTCCACACTGTGTTGTGTGTGACTTGTCTGTGGCTTTGGTTGTAGGTCCTCCAGGTTGCAGCCTGTGAAGAAGAGGCACGTGTGGCTTTTGCAACGCTGGGTGCAGCTGAAGGCAAAACTGATGATGCTTTATTAGCCTTTGAAGCTGTTAACAATGCGGTTTCGTACTGGAACCTATGCACTGTAAGTTTGTAAATTGCATTACCTCAGAATGCTTTTCTGTCACTTGCGTTCTGACCAATTCTTCCTGATCGATATGCTGCTACTTAGCTTTGTCAAAGAAAGGCAGAGGAGGTTGAGAGTGATGGTGTGCTACCAGAGGAACAAGAAGAACGCAAAGCCTGTGTTGTTGAAAGGCAGCACTGCCTGATGAAGATCATTGAGGAAAGCTCCTCTGACCCGTCAGTAGCTGCCCAAGTAAGTAAAAGAATTAATGCTTGTGTGAATGGTCCTCTTAGTTAATGTTAACAGATGTGGGGCTTTCCTGGGGGAAAACAACAACAAAAACACCCCGAGTTTCTGCAGAAAGCCGTGTGCACTGTTCAGCCGTAGATCAGGACGCAGTCTCTTGCTCTGAGGAAGAATTGCCATCACGACTTGCGTTTCCAATCCATTTCTAGCTGCCGGTATCTGTTAGAGCTGTGACGGAAATGCTGAAGGCAGTGATCCGGGAGCTTGGGGAGAACGGTGAGGAGGGAAGTCTTGCCTCCAGAAACATCTCACGAGCTGCGCACATGGAAGTGGAAGATGCAGTTCCATCACCCAAGAAGTTCTCTTTCTCACCAACTAACACCTACCAGCTATATTAGCCGGTTACTCTTTTAGGGAAGTGTTCCTTTTGTGTAAGAAAATCCAAGTTCAGTAAGCTTTTTTTTTTTTTCTTTGCTCAGACTCTCCTTCAGTGGGCAGAAGACCACAAGTCCTTACTTCAAAAGCTGAGTCAGCAAGTGGAAGCTTTAAAGGTAAACAGCTTCTGTCACTATACTGGATGCAGAACAGTTGATCTTTTTGTTCTGGTAAGTACTTTGTCACCCAAGCACTGAACTAAGCTTCACTTGCCAGGCTACCTCTTAATTCAGCGAAGAGAACTGCTGTAAACATCCTCTTAAATTCAGGGCAAGAGTGAAACTTTGTTGCCTACAAACTCTAATTTGGTACTCAGATATAGGAAGTAATCCTGAGGATTGTGTGTGCAGAAAGTTGTGCTTTCTTCAGCTTAGCTGTTGTCATCTTGGTTCTGGGTTTATTTCTAGCTTCAGGGCACAGTCTCGGTTTTGTAAAGCATGGGCAGATCGTGGATTATTGCAGCAGTTAATAGCAGTTACTCTTCTTTTTTTTTTTGTCTCAGATCTTGAACGTGCTTTTAAATAGCAAAGGATCGTAGGGATCATTCCTTGGGTTTTCCCCGCATACCTGTGTTTCATACGTTTCCATTCTCTTAATTGAAACCCTGTCTTTAACAGAATGAAACACAGGAAATGAAACGTAACAGTTGCAGTGTAAGCATGCCATCTCATTGCTGGCCTGCTGAAAGCTGTGGAGCAGATACTGTGTCAGATGGTTATGGGAGAGCACAACATCTTCGTGAAGCTCCTTGGAAGGGTAAGTTGATGCTGGATTTTTAATTGACCGCTTAGCTAAACAGTGAGACTTCTTAAAACCTTTCTGCAGTGTTCTGAGATGAATGAGTAAAACTGGTCCCTGGGGAAAGTTCATTCAAGTCAGAAATGAAAACTGGATGCAAACCCTTTTCTTGGTGTTCCTTTTCAGTTGCTACCTCTGGCCTGTCTGTTTGCAGTAGCCAGTCACCTGCTGTGACTCGCAGTGTCTTCGAAGAACTGCTGCAACCAGTGTACCACCAACAGAGGTGAGGACAAACGAATCTGCTCAAGCCATTTCTACTGATTTGTTGAGAACAGCTGGTTGTGATTCTGTGTGCAGCTGGGTATAACTGCGGTTCCCTAGAGAGCATTTACTACACTTGAGGTCTGCTGGAGACAGGCAGAAAGTTCCATTATCAGCTGATCTTTGGGACGTGGGGTTTGGGAGAAACAGCCAGCAAAGGATGTTTTTAACGTGCTGGCACATGTCCTCTGCTCGTTGTCTGCGATGTTCTTTTCCCCAAAATAGTGTGGGGACTTGCTGGTTTTGACTGTTTTGGTACTAAAGGAAATGAGTCAGTTCACTTACGCTTCTCTCCAGTCTGTGTGTTCAGATACCATCCAAGTTTTGAACGTATGATTTCAGTTTAAACTGATGAGAGTTGAAATCTAATTTTAAGGTGCACCTTGCTATGAAGAGTGCACGTTGCATGGGCTTCAGCCCCCTGATCCCTTTTTCTCCTTTTGCACGAGGAAGTAACGGTGTGTTTTTCTTTAGGCGCCTGTCTGTGGCGTGAACGGAGCTGCACCTCAGCACGTCGAAACGTGCTCAGCAACAAGCGATCCACGCGCCGCCTCTGCACAGCACTTGTGCTGCTGTGCTTCCTCAAGGCACCTGTGGTGCACCTGTGTGTTTTGATGCTCCGTCTGCTGGAATCCTTTCTCCTCGTGGAGGTGATGATCGCTACAACTACGGCCTGCCCCAGGCGAGTGCAAATCCACCTCTGCCTGAACCAGGCTGTTTTACAAAACCTGCGTTTGCACCCACAGGTTTAAAACCTGCAGAGTCCTGTGTCAGTGCCGCACAGGACAAATTAGGATCCGCCTTTGCGAAAAAGGAAGGGCAGTGGGACTGTAACATCTCTTCAGTGAGAAATGAACCCACTGCCCCAAAATGTGTTGCCCTGCAGAATGCAAACAAAACTCGTTCAGCAGTATCTCTTCAAGAACTGTCCTTTAAACTCGATGGGAAAACCCCAGCGTGTACCTCTCAGAATCTGGCAGATGCTGAAGCGGAGCCTGCAGAGGGAAGATGTAACTTCTCAGTGTGGATGCCTCCAGGTGGATTTAAATTTGGCATAGAGGAGTCCAATACAAATTGCACTAAGATGATCCACCCAAGGAGCGTACAGCAGACTTGACAAACATGGATGGAAAAGACAAAAATGAACTGCCCTCAGGTGGTGGAGTTACACTCCAATCTCAAGAAACAGCAAACAGGGACAAGAGTGAGCACACCTGTGAGAAAGGCACGTGGATAACAGCTCATGTTTCTGGTACGAACGCAGCCAAAGCGTCTCCTTGTGGTGCAAACTCTGTAGCTGTGCTGGAGGAAGCTACCAGGGAACAAAGTGACCTCAGCCATGGTGGTGATGGTTCTGATGCCACTGTAGAGGCCTCAGAGGCTTTAAGCACCTCTGAAACGCCAAGAAAAACTGTGGTTTCTGCTCCAAAGTTTGTATTTAGGTCTGAATGTGTCAAGAGCGTTTTCAGTAACGAAAAGACATTCCCATCTGGCAAGACCTCGGCCATCGGTTCCCTCTTTGGATTCGGCTTTAATCCTCCAGGAAAGAGCACTGATGGAATTTCAACATCTTAGAAAGCAGAGCAGGAAAAACCGGGAGTGGCTGAAGCAGCCAAAAGCTGCAGTGCAGCTCAGGAACCTTGGGAGAGCGAGGCATCCAAGCTGGCTCCTCCAGCACAAGATGGGCCCTCCAACTTCTCGTTTAAAATTCTGGAAGAAGGTGAGCGTTAACTGAGCTAGTAATTTATTCAGCTGTGCTGCTCATTAGTCAGTCATTCATTAGTGCTAGTCATTGTCTGAGTTCTTCTGTCTTAATAGGATGTCGATTCTTTCAGTTCCAGTGCAGGTCTGTGATCTTCAAATCCTAGACTTTCAGCTTGAGTGATACTGAGTTGTAGCTATTTGCACGTGAGAACAGAAACATGCCTTATGCAGGATTCAGCGTTAGTCTGCAGTGAGACAGGGAGTTGCGGGTAGGATTTTGGAATCTGTGCGAGGCGCTGTTTAAGATGTCAGGGTGAAGTGCTGAGTGCCTTTTTTGAGCTGAACTCACAGAATCACAGAATCACAGAATTGTAGGGGTTGGAAGGGACCTCCAGAGATCATCGAGTCCAACCCCCCTGCCAAAGCAGGTTCCCTATAGCAGGTCACACAGGTCGGCATCCAGGCAGGTCTGGAACATCTCCAGAGAAGGAGACTCCACCACCTCCCTGGGCAGCCTGTTCCAGTGCTCCTCACCTCACTGTAAAGAAGTTCTTGCGCATGTTTGTGCGGAACTTCCTATGCTGCAGTTTCCAGCCGTTTTCCCCTTGTCCTGTCTCCACTCACCACTGAAAACAGTCTGGCCTCGCCATTCTGTCCCCCAAACCTCAGATATTTATAGACCTGGATCAGGTCCCCTCTCAGTCTCCTTTTCTCAAGGCTGAACAGACCCAGTTCACTCAGCCTTTCCTCATAGCAGAGATGCTCCAGGCCCTTCACCATCTTCGTGGCCCTCCGCTGGACTCTTTCCAAGAGATCCTTGTCTTTTTTGTACTGGGGAGCCCAGAACTGGATGCAGTGCTCCAGATGAGGCCTCACCAGGGCAGAGTAGAGGGGGAGGATTACCTCCTTCGACCTGCTGGACACGCTCTTTTTAATGCACCCCAGGATGCCATTGGCCTTTTTGGCCACAAGGGCACACTGCTGGCTCATGGCCAACCTGTCATCCACCAGGACACCCAGGTCCCTTTCCGCAGGGCTCCCCTCCAGCAGCTCATCCCCCAACCTGTACTGGTGCATGCAATTATTCCTCCCCAGATGCAAGACTCTACACTTGCTTTTGTTAAACTTCATCTGGTTTTTTTCTGCCCAGCTCTCCAGCCTGTCCAGGTCTCGCTGAATGGCAGCACGGCCTTCAGGCTGTCAGCCAATCCTCCCAACTTCGTATCATCAGCAAACTTGCTGAGGGTGGCCATTATCCCCTCATCAAGGTCATTGATGAAGATGTTGAACAAGACTGGACCCAGCACAGACCCCTGAGGAACACCGCTGGTTACAGGCCTCCAACCGGACTCTGCACCACCAACAACAACCCTCTGTGCTCTGCCAGTCAGCCAGTTCTCAACCCACCTCACTGTCCACTCGTCTATCCCACACTTCCTCAACTTTGTTATAAGGATGTCGTGGGGGACAGTATCAAATGCCTTGCTGAAATCAAGGTAGACTACATCAACTGCTCTCCCCCTATCCACCCAGCCAGAGACAACATCATAGAAGGCTACCAGGTTGGTCAAGCACGACTTCCCCCTTGTGAACCCGTGCTGACTACTCCTGATAACCTCCTCTTCTTCCAGTTATCTGGAGATGACATCCAGTACAAGCTGTTCCATCACCTTTCCAGGGACAGAGGTGAGGCTGACTGGCCTATAATTGCCTGGGTCTTCCTTCTTGCCTTTTTTGAAGAACTGGCAGTGGATGTGCGCAGGCCTCGCTCTGACTGGCCACTACGAGAGCAGCACGTGTGCTTCAGCTTCAACTCGAGTCATCCCTTCAACTCGGAGGCATCCTGCTGCTCTGCCTCCATTCCTTTCCGGTAGCTTTACATCTTTAGCTTCAGCCTTGGATTGTCCTGGTTTTTCTTGTACTTCCCAGAAGAGATGTGAAATAAGTTCTGTTCAGTCGCTGTGTCATATCTTCTGGAATTTCACATGCTCAGAGCTCATCGGTAGTACAGCTGCTGCAGACAGCTTTCCGTTTCTGACTGTCTTTTGCAGTCCTTGGTTTTGCTTTTCCTCTGTAGATGATTCCCGTATGGCTCTTCCTTGTAGCTGTGTTTTGTTTGGTGTAAGGCCATCACTAATTCTTGTAACGGTATGAAAATGCTGACCTGTTCCTGGTCTGAGACTTGAATTTCAAAGCTGACATTCAAGGTTTCAAAGGGAAGGGGAAAGTATAGTGCTACTGGAACCAACAGACTCTAACAGTACTTCAACTGAGAAAACCTGTCATCTTCCATTTGGCCAGTCACCCTTTCTGAGGCTATGAGTGTCTGTATAGTAATAAAAGGTGGCACATATTGGGCTACCAGAAATATAAGTAAATGTCAAAGGAAGCTGGCGTCTGTAGTGGCAGTGGCAAGTTTGAAATCTTCATTATTGCATGGAGGTTCTTGGATAGCAGCAGAAAACCAAAGCATGGCAGATTTACAGTTCCTTAGTTATCCTGAATGAGTGTCTTTTTATCTAAGGATGCCTTTTCAAAAGCTCTGAATGCAAGATGTTCTGAGTATCGTTAGGTTGCTTTATAATGTACGTGCCAGAAATCTCAGTATTTAGCTGTCTTATCAGCTGTTTTCCACTAATGTTTGTTCTTTGCAGCAGGCCCCCCAGTCAAACCTGAGCTGCAGAGGGAATGTGTTACTGCTTCTCAGGTTTCTCAGGGAGAGAGAGGAAACAGCTTTGCCTCCTAAAGTAGAAACGGCTTTGGCTAGTAGAATTCCTCCTAGCAGGTATGTAAGAGTAAAGGGATTTCAGAGCAATTTCCAAGGGAAATGGTGCTCGTTTTGGAATCGCACTGCTCCAAAGGCACTTCAGTCTCTTGTCGAGTCAAGCTTGAGTTTGTCTTAAGAGTAATGAAGAGTTCTTGTTTGTTTTTTTCCCCAGTTGTTCGCTTCCCTTAATCCCTGTTACTTAGCTGCTCTGAAGCAGTAGTAGCTATAGGAACTGTAGGAAAGTTGGAGACTGAGAACTTTCAGTCATGATTTCTCTGTACTGCAGTTGTAATTATAAATGGAGAAATTTATCAGTTGCTGGGAGGGAGGGAGAGAGGGAGGGAGAGGAGGGGGGAAATGCGGCTTTATTGGAGGGAGCGGTTATTCTTAGTGTCCAGACTTAATGTAGTTTGAATGTTAGGCTCTCATGGCTTATTTGCTTACTGTTTTATTAATCGTGCTGACTTATTCTTCCTTCCTTGTACAGATTTACATACTGCAGCAACCAGTGAACAACAGCAGTATTTGTGCAGTCAGCTGCAAGCAGCAAAGAAGCAGAATGCACAGAAACTGCTCACGTATCACAGGATTTACCAGGAGGTGGTGATGCAGCTTTTTAGGAAGGAGAAGAACTGCAAGCTCAAGTAGAGATGAGTTTAACTGGAAGTAGCCTTATGTAGCTTTGTAAGGCTTAACACACTTGTTCGTGTCTGGATTTCGTGTTTGACCCTAGCGTGCCTAATAGGATGAGAAGCTTGCAATGACTGTAATCTTCTAGTTTGGCCTCCTGTAAAGAACAGACCTTAATTGCAGGTTAGTGTAATGATTAAGCAAGACCGACAGCGCACCAATAAACAGTAGGTAGTGTCCTTTAATTGGAACAGCTAATCTGATGAAGTCTGCAGAATGTCGTCTTCCTCTTTCTTCAATATCTTGTCTGCCTTTCCTCATCTCTTCATCACAGTATGACTTCTGTGGGTTTTTTTCTCGCCTTACCTGCTCTTTTTCTCCTTCAGTGTCACTTCTCCCACAAGAAATGCTTGTCTG